ACTGGACTGGACTGAGTTTGAAAATCACGGTGACCAGTTAGTTGATGGTTGGGCCCTAGATGCTGAGATGAGAAAGGGGGATTTGACAGAGTTGGATAAAAGAAAACACTTTATGTTTGTACATTTCAGTGAACCAGTTATGCATTATACACATTAGATCATCAAATTTTTTAATGAAATACAGTGTTCTTTCTGTGCCAGGCACTCTTCTAAGTTTTTACATCTACTAGCTCATTTAAACCTCACAGCCACCTTGAAGAGTGGGTGCTATCATTAATTCCATTTTACAGATGAGGAAGCTGAGGCACAGGCAGGTTAAGGGACTTGCCCAAGGTCACACAGCTGGTAAACAGCAGAATCAAGACTCAGATTTAATAACATGCAGGCCAGTCAGAGCATGTTTGTGGAAGGATCTGGGCTGTGGGCTGCCACTTTGAAGCCCATCGTTTAAATGAGAATGGGGAAGCTCTGTGGGGGAGAGGAGGGCACGTGGGGGAGTACTGAACTTGGTCAGGCCCACGGCCCACTTAGAATCATGGAATCTCACAGATGGGCAGGATCTTGAAGACAGTCGGCCCACCTTTATCCCCATTTTACAGCTATGGAAAACCAAGGGGGACAGGCCTTGCCCAGGGTCACCATGGCTCAGGCCCCCTGCCTGTGCCTCTCTTCTCATAGGATTCTCACGTGAATTTATGTCCTGTGAACCAAGGATGCAACTGTGCTCCTGCTGTTCTAATCCGAAGGAGAGGGGGAGGGCAGGGATCTGTCCTGGAGGCAGGACACCTAGGTCCACGTTCCCTTCTCTTAGGGATGCCTGCCTGTCCTCTGGAGTCGGCCACCCTGGATTGGGAGCAGCAGGCACTGGCCTATCCTGGCCCAAAGGCTGCCTCTGGCTGTGGCACTTAAGGTGGGCGCTGACCAGGGTGCTGAACCTATATGGCGCCTTCCTCTTAACACGCAGCCTAGCTGAGGTTAGAAAGGGAAGTGAGAGGGAAGGGGATTCTCATATTTTGTCACTCAGGGACCAGTATGACTGTTTTGGGCAGTGTTTAGTGGGAAAGCCTTGGAGCTAGGATTTCTGTGGTCTTCACGTCCTTGGGAAGGTCACTCACCTGCTCTGGACCTGCTTTTTCATCTGTTCAGTGGGGAAAGTAGCTCCCATCCTACCAAACTCAGAAGACTGAGGTGAAATCACGTGGAGCCAGTGACAGAGCCTTGCGCAGAGCCCAAGCCCATTTCAGAGGCTCACACTCACAGAGGCTTTGTGGCCCTCTGTGGAGTGGGGGTCATGCTGGGTGGTTTCTGCTGCTACTAACCTAGGTGCTCTGGGTGCTGTGGCTGAAGGTGGAAGTGCTCAGAAACATCAGATATGCTTTGCAAATGGGACTGATTTGGGAGTCTGAGACCATCCTGGGGATTATGCAGCATTGTTCCTTTCTCACACAAGTCCTGACATGGTTTTCCCACTTCAGGAGTAGTTTTTGCCCAGGGATCCATGCTTCTCACCTGGACAGGGTGTGGGGTCTGGGTACAGCAGTTCTACCAAAAAGAGCACTGGCTCTAGAACCAAGCTGACCTAGGTTCCCATCATGCTTCTGCCACTTGCAGAAGGGCAAGCCCAGCGCCTCAACCAAGGCTGCTAACAGTGTTTCCCTTGGGGTGGCCAGGAGTACAAGAGCCCAGGAAAAGCCTAGCACACTGGGGGCACCAGACACGCTTGTTTTCTGCACTGGAGGGCAGCCTAAGGTTCCCTTCCTCTTGTTCATGAGTGCCTAGCCTTACCTACCCAGATGGCCTCCATGCTAAAGACAGCTCCAACTATCTGTTTATAAGACACATTATTTGGCTGAACTCTGCAACAATCTTTAAGGTAGAGGTGATGCTCATTTTGCAGATAAGGCCACAAGCAGAGGGAGGGGCAGGAGTCACACCCATGCCTGCCTGATTCTGAGACCCCTGCTTGGCTTTGGGCAGATTCCTGGACCTTTCCAAACCCTTTTTCTGGTCTAGAAAATGAGGATAGTATCTCATTATGGTTGTTATGATCTGAAGATATAATGTATGCCACATTACAAGGGTACCTGCATGTTTAAAAACATATACAAGAACACATCTGAGTGACGTACAGGGGCAAGGGAGGGAGACGACACCGGGTAAAACTGGAAACACTTAAAATGACGGGGTTCTCGCATGCATCAGTCAAAGTGTGCTATGAACCAAGAAGACTGACACTATTCTTCCCACCTGATATTGAGGTGAAGGAAAAAGATACAGTTTGTACACTAGAGCATCTCAAAACCTAATGTGCACACAAACCACTTGGGGAACTTGTTAAAATGCAGATTCTCATTTAATAAGTCTGGGGTGGGGCCCAAGATTCTGCATTTCTAACAAGTTCCCAGGTGAGGCTGCTGGTTTGAGTGGCAAGGATGTGGAAAGTCTTCCCTTCCCTTCTCAGGAGTCCTCAAACTTGCTTGATCATACGAATCACCTGAGGAACTCAAAAATGCATTAAAGGCCCTTCCCTAGTGAACTGGATCCAGGTCTGGGTTGGGGCCAGGATGTACTGTGTACTTTGAGCAAGCATCTCAGGAGACTGGTAGGCTCAGGTGAGCTGGGGAAGCATGGCTGTGGTATGCATCTACATCATGGCCCATGGTGTAGACAGACATACGAGACTGGCTCCCTAGACCTCTGTCGCCATTGCGCCTTCCTGAAGGAGAGGCGGGAAAAGGGAACAAAGACATTTTCCCAGGCTCCCTTGCAGCTGCGGTTTGCGAGGTGATGTAGGTTCCAACTGTCAGATGCATTCAATTGAGCCTTGAATTTGGAGCTGAGCTGAATGGGGGTCAAGGTGGCAGTAGGAAGGGCATTCACTTCCGGTGCAGATCTAGGCAGCTGCCAGTGGCTCTGGAGTTTCCTGACCCCAGATCATGGTGATGATAATGTGATCTTGCTGATCTCTGTATATAAACCTTCTTGTTTAAAAAAGCTAAAGTAGTTTCCGTTTACTGCAACTGAACCCCAGGACTAACACTTCAGCAGGACCCTCCTACTGTCTCCTCCCTCTGCACCCCCATCACACTGTCACTCTCACAACACTCACCTTACGCAGCTCACATGGAACATGGCCTTTCACGTGGTAAATCTTTATCAGACTGCACCGTCAGCCTGAGCAGACACTGGGCCTTCAACTTTATACCTTCACCTGGCCCTGTCATTGCTGCTCCCTGCATTCTAGCATCTGTCCTTACTCACCTGGGTCTCGCCACCCCTCACTGCCCACCATCCTCACTGCCTGCCACTGCTGCCTTCTGACCCACCCTGCAGGTCCGATTCAAGGCCAAGTGACGTGGGGTGTCCCAAGGACAAACAACGGCTGGGGACTTGGATGCTTGCATCTCTCCTTCGGGGCACAAAGCCGAGAGTGGCCCACAAGCATGCCAGCTTTACAATAGAGAAAGCTGCGATATGCGTGTGGGGATCTTTCCTCTTCTTGATGGTGGACCTGTCTTACTGGAACTGCACCAAAGTAGACAAGATTAGAAGATGATAGAGGATATTAATTGCTACATAGATTCTAATTTTCTTTGTGAAGAGGCATGGATCAGTAACAGAATGTCATTCATGACAGCAGGAAGGAAGGCCGGGAGGGAAGCTGGGTTCTAAGAGTGAGGCTGTGTGGGCTTGCCACTTGTTTCCTAACTGCATGTCCACAGATACTGACCTGACTATAATATATTCTTGGGGTCGGGGTCGCAAGAGACTCATGACTTCACCCTGGAGGTTGACAGACTGAATAGACAGATGCAATGAGAAATACAGCCAACTCTAAGAACTGGGAAGGAGACAAGGCAAGGAGGAGAAGGTGGGGATGCAGGGCCTGCCAGAGACGGTACAAGTGGTCTATGGCACTTCACCAAAGGACAAGATCTGGAACCAGACCTTTATTTACTTGTAGGGCACTGGATGAACAAAGAAATTTCAAACTAAGCAGAAGTGATGCCATGAACCTCATTAGACCTGGAAAGGTCATGGGAACTCCCTTAGACAGGACCTGTCTTATAACACGTCCAGCCCAGAACTTCCCCCAAAAGTCAAACCCAGCTCCTCTGTGGCTCACCAGCCATGGTCATCCTAAAGTGGCTATCACCAAAGCCATGGTCTGCTCCCCAGGGGTGACTGTCTCTGGTCTGTGCCTTGCTTGACCTAGATCAAAATTCTCTTTTTAAAAAAAAACAGAGGGCAAAACCACAATGAGATGCCACTTCACACCCATTAAGATGGCTATACCAAGAACACCTCCAAGTATTGGCAAGGATTTGGAGAAATTGGAACCCTCATACCCTGCTGGTGGGAATATAAAATGGTACAACCATTTTGGAAAACGGTCTGGCAGTTCCTGAAAAAGTTAAACACACAATTACCAAAAGATCCAGCAATTCCACTCCTAGGTACATACCCAAGAGAACTGAAAACATAAGGCCACACAAAAACTTGTACACAAATGCTCATAGCAGCATTATTTGTAATAGCCAAAAGTGGAAACAACCCAACAGTCCATCAACTGATAAATGGATAAAGAAAATGTGGTACGTATCCATACAATGGAACATTATTCAGCCATAAAAAAGAATAAGGTACTGATACATACTACATGGATGAACCCTGAAAACCTTAAATGAAAGAGGCCAGACACAAAAAGCCACATATTGTGTGATTCCACTTATGAGAACTGTCCAGAATAGGCAAACCTTTAGAGAGAGAAAATAGACTAGTGGTTGCCTGGCGATGGGACGGGGGGAATACAGAGTGATTATTAGTGGGTATGGGGTTTCTTTTTGGGGTGGTGAGAATGTTCAGGAATTAGATATGGTGATGGATGCACAACACTGTGAATACACTAAAAACCACTGAATTGCACACTTTAAAAAAGGGTGAATTTTATGAATACGTACATTATATCTCAATAAAGCTGTTACTAAGAAAAATAGGAACAGGTTATTAAGTGCTGGTATTTATTGTTAAGGCTCCAACTTTTCAGGTGCCACAAAACCTGAACCATTTCCTTTTGCTGCTTGGTGATTACCTGATGATGGCTGGAAGGAGGCAAGTGGCCCAGACCACAACAAGCACCGACAGCTTGACTTGGAAGTTCTTAAAGGCCCCATTCACTTCCCCCCACATAACAGCTAAGACATTGTCTGTGTCCCTCAGTGTCCTTGATGCAAGGAGACCCATTCAAAAAATGGCTGATTCTGCAGATGAATCACTAAAGTTTCTGTTTTCAGAAAACAGAATTATGTATATGACTATCCTTTCAATCTTTGCTACTAGAAAATCTAAGTGGCAAATTTATTGTTTCAATCTTGTCTTTTCCTTGAATCAGGGTCCTGAAAGTTATCTACCTTCCCTGATTGTCTGATGGTCTCTGGTCTGATGTTCCTTTAAATACTTCCTTTTATAATAAAGGATGCTTTTAGGAGCAAATTGCCCCAAGTCCTTTTGGTAGCAGATATGGTCCAATTTCAAAACAAAAACATTCCATCCACTTGCCAGCGCTTGAGGAAGACGACTCTGACTGATGATTGCATCTGCAGCCCTGCCTGACCTCTGAGTCTTGCTCCAGAGCAGAGCTGCTGTAAAGGCTTCAAGGTGGTCTTTTACTAAATCAGTGCTTGAGATGGGGTCTGCCAGAAATGCCCAGGGAGCCTACTCTTGCTAGCCTCCTCACCAGGCCCAGCCCCCATCCAGGACTGACCCTGGGCACATGTGTCAGTTTAGCTTACCCCTAACCCACTCTCAGGCAGGGCAGACAGGCAATCCCAGGCTATAGCATATTAGCAGACACCTCTGAAAGGCTCTAGTAGCCCTCTGCCCACAGATAAATATTTATGTCCTAATTTAGGGGAAGGAGCCCAAGGAGCTAAGAAGTGAAGGACCCACCCACGGCTGAAATGCTAGTTGTGGAAGGAAAGTGACTAGTGCCTTGAGCTCTTGCCTCTGAGCCTGGTGCTCTATGGTGCTCTTTCCACTCCAGCACAGGGCTTCATCACTGACCACGTCTGCCAGGCCTCGGGCTGAAAAGGATCCAGAGAACACCAAAGTCAGGTGGGCCTGGACGGAGGGCAAAGGCTTCCAGAGGCCTGGGGGTGAAATGCCTTCCTGGGTTGTTTCTTGCTTCACTAGCTCCTCCATCCACCCCAGCCACTGGCTCCCAGAGGCTGGGCTCCCTGCTCCTCCCCAAGTTCAACACCATACTCAAATGGAGCCCACACTCCCGTGCTCGTCTGGGCCCCAAGGGGGACGAGACGCACAGAGTTACAACTGTAGGTAAGGACCACACAAAGCTTTGAACCTTCATTCTCTTCCTTTTGCACCAGTTCCTAGGGGGCACCATACACAGAAGCAGATGTCAGAACGTCAGAGCAGGAAAGGTACTTCAGAGTTCATAGGTGGGCACGAAGGCCCTGGGAGAGGACAGGACTTAGGGTCACTCAGTAAGTTAGTGGCAAAAATGAGATCAGCCCTCAGGTCTGTTCTGTTTCCTCCTCTGTTTATAGGCTGCCATTGCCTAGGCATAGACAGACCCAGAGAACTGGCTCAGACAGGCAGAACTGGAGGATTCTGCCCTTTCCAGAAGGATGCAGTCTTCCTGCAATGTGCCTGCCCTCGTGAAAGTCATCCTTGTGGCCTATGGGGTTTCCAGTCACTCATTTTCATCCACGCAGCCAGACTGGGACCCATCTTAGTGATGTCAGGAGCAACTGCAATTTATGAAGGGAAGGTGCCTGAGAAGCAAGAAGGGGCCCTGGGTAGGAAGAGAGTCATTTAGCCCCACAAAGATTCAAACTCTCAAGTCTCATAACTGGAAGGAGCTGTGCAGTAAAGAAATGCAGGAGACTGGCAACATGATTTTTGTATTGACATTTGGTTCTCAATAATAACATCCAAAATGCGTTCTGTTCTTATAGCGCTGTAGCTGGGACTGCATTGGGCCGAGGGTATATGTTGCCGAGTCTCCCTTAGGAAGTAGGGAGGAGCTGGTGACGAGAGTGAGACACTGATTTCTCTTTGGGACCTATATACAGCCAGGTGGAGAGCTGCAGCAGGTGTCTTGGCTCTGATAGGGGGTGGGGAGGCAATCCCAGCCAGCCTGCAAACACATGAGGAGAGTCCCTTGCCCCCAGCCCACAAGAACACGGTTGCTGATGGGGCCAGTGGTGGCAGCTCCAGGAGAATGGAGGGAAGGCTGGGATGTTACATTCTTGAGGCCTTCACAGGTACATGTCATCGTAGCCCGGCGGGGGGAGATGGTCTGGGTTAGGTCTGGAATGGAAAGAGGGGTTGGTGAGTTGGAGTGATGGAGGGCCAGGGGCACACAGGCAGACAGGGCCCTGAGCTGAGTGAGCCTGCCCTCCAGGATGATGTGGTGGTTCGTGGAGTTTAAGAGCGTGTGCTCTAGTGTCAGACAGGGCTTAAATCCTGATTCTCCACCTGGGATAAGTTACTTCATCTTTCAGCGCCTCAATTTCTGCAGCTGTAAAATGTGGACGGTAATATCTACCCACGAGTGTTGACATAAGGATCCAGTGAGTTCCTGACAGACTAAAACACACACTAACACTCACTAAGTGTGAGCAGCAACTCCTCCTCTGAGTCCTCCCTGAGGGGAACTAGGGGAGGGAGGCACTGAGGAATGGGGCTCCAGGGAGGCATCAGGCAGGCGCCTGGAGGAGGCTCCCCTCTCATGGCAGCAGGGGATGGAGCTAGTGGCCACTCTGCGCCTGGCGTCAGACATCTTCGTTCCTGCAACACTGAGCTGAGCTGCCAGCAGGTCCTACTTCTCAGCAGCCCTGAGCGAATACCTACCCAGACGGGCTAGTCCCAATGGGTCCAAAGGGGTCAAAGCGTGCTCCTGGGGGCACTGCGCCTGGAGGAAGCCGGTTTGGGAGGCCCGACGACGGGTCAATAAGTGCTCTTGGGAAGCCGGATCTCAGGGGATCCACAATCATGCCACCTCTCCGACACCTGAGGCAAGAAGGAAAGATAGGTAAGCAGGAATGGCAAGGAGCTGTTGAAGAGGTGCAGGAGGCAAGAATGGACTAAGAATGACTGGGATATCTGCTCTGGGCGGTTCAAGCAGACACATATGGATGGCTGGCTGAGTGCCAGCAGGAAGCGGGCAAGGGCAAGAACACAAAGAGCACTCCTTTCCTGGCATGCATGGCCTGTACTTTTGGTTCTACAGGCTCCCTGAGCCTGCAAAATTGAGATCTCTGTCATGACCTACACCCAAGGGGGACAATTTGATTAAGAACAGGCGCTAGAACTTGCCAAGGTCAATGCAGAACTATCACAAGGCTCTGCAGGGCACTACTTTAGGTCTAACAACTAACAACAGCATTGAGACAATGCATGCTGCTAGCTTCTCTGATGTTTCCTTAAAGGACCTCAGGGAAATCTATGACTGCCTGTGGGTTGCCCAAGTCTGGCTCCTGACAGCATCTGTCCCTCACGGAGTTCCATGGACCTGACCTCAAGGCTCAAACTAGGATGAATGAGCTGATCTTCCCCAAACTTTGAGGTTACTGTTCAAGCTTAACTGCAAGCTTACTTTCCCACTGTCTAAAAATGAGATGCTCAACTTGGGGTCACTTTGTAACAGAGGTTAAAATCTATTCTGAATCAGTCAGAGAAGACCGTGTATAATTGAGGCTGTAATAACTTTGTTGCATGTATGACAAGAAGCACACCGAGTCTAACGGGGATCAGAGACTCCTCTTATCAAGTGAGGGGACCTCTGAATAGCCCTGAACTGCTCTAAGGTCTGCAGCCCACCTAGTGCTCTTCAGTCTGCACCTGATAAACCCCTGTGGTATCCTTCCACCTAAGGGAGGACTACTGTCTTCCACCAGGGCAAATGGGGCCAGAAAACAACACAGAAGCTGCCCGCTGGGCTTGCTCAGCCCCTCCCCAACACTCAGAGCCCTCCTGCACCGCCCTGGGCATGGCAGAGCAGAATGAGTGGTGATGATTTCTAGGCTGCTCAGCAACAACTGCCTCCCTCACCCCAAAGGAAGACTGATGAAAAGCTCTAAAATTAGAAGATGAGCTAGGGCTGAAAAGCCACGAGAGCAAGTTGTGTTGCTGTCAGCACCCCAGCAGTACTCACCCAAAGGGGTCTAGGTCCTCTCCCCCGACAGCAAACGGGCCCAGGGGATCAGACCTGAAACAAACAAGGGACAATTACTGAAAGTCCCAGAGCAGCCGGGGGCCTGGGTGCCCAGGGGCTGGATCCTGATGTGCATGGGGTCACAAATGCACTCACTCCCAGGCACGGGGACAGGGGAAACGCCTGCATGAGACCATAACACAGGGATATTCCAAAGTGATCCTTGGCACAGACTAACACTGACAATATTACAATGGCAGTTATGTGACGAGAGCTGAACACAAAGCTAGAAACATGGAAAATCCTAATCTCTGTACAAATTTTATCTGTAGAAAGATAAAAATGATAACCTCCAGATGAAATTTATTCACACCTTTTTCAAGTTCCTAAACTTTGTATAAAGAACCAAGAACTTTTAGATCAGAAAAATATTATTCTAAAACCCCAAACCAAAAGCTCAGATTTGAAAGAGTCCAAGGATGGAGTGAGACGGGTGGTCACATACAGCCGGAACAGTGCTTCTCAACCTTCTGTTCATTATGGCCCCTGCATGGAACTTTAATACCACAGCTACTATGTATCTGTTTATGCACTGTAGCCCATTGGAGGGCCACAAACCATTGTAATCTCTAAGATTTTTTTTACCCCCTACCAAGAACTAATTTTTGTCCTCATTGAGAATGCATGAGCTAGGACCATAAATGAGTGCATGCTTTCTGGAGAGCAATTCCATACTATATAATATATACACACACAAAATGTATCTATCTTTCAAAATTCTTATATATCTTTATATTCTTTGATTCAGTAATTTTACGTCTAGGTTTCTACCTTAAGGAAAGAATACAGAATTCAAATTAAAAATATCACCATAAAGACTTTAATCAAGGGAACTGGATTGGCCTAAATGGGGACCAGTTAGACACATTATGATATATCCCTAAATGCAGTTGTGGAAACAATCTTAGAATATTTTAAAGTAATGTGGAAAAATGCTTATGCTCTAGTGTTAACTGTGGGGGGAAAGAGGATTATCAATAGCCTAGGAAATCAACTGTGAAAAATGTGTGTGTGGGTGTGTATGTATAAATAAAACTAGAAAGAAGCATACTGAAATATAAACAGTGACAGTTTTTCCTGGGTGGTGAGTTTCTTCTTTATACCTTCCTGGTTTTCTCTATAAAGGATATGGACACAGATACAATAAAACAAAAAAAATTTAGTGTTTGAAAAAGCATGCTTTGGAATCTGCTTGGAGCCCCAGGAAACAATACAAACCTGACACTTCTGGGGCACCTCGAGTTCCTCCCAGACTTCAGGAAAGTCTTGTAAACAGCAGCTAATCTAAGCTTACAAGTAAGAAGCCATTAATTAAACAACTGGGAAAAAATCCAAAAGTAGGTGCTTCTCCAGTCAGTTCTACCTAATGCAATGGAAACGGTATTGTGATTTAGGTGGATGTGGCTAGGTTTCCAAGGGAACAAATTTCTCCTGACCTAGGTTAGTGTTCCCAAAACATGGTCCGTGGAGCTGGTAGTCAAAGTTTCTGGTGGCCTCCAACATTCTGCCTTACTGCACAGACCAGGTGGTGCCAAAGGGCAGTGAGCATCTTACCTATCCCTACAGAGCAGCAAACAGAAGGGGCTTCTAGTAGGCTATAAAAATGCCTGGGAGAACAGAGCCTTGACGGCTCCTGACACATGCAGCTGTCTTTATTTTTCTTTCCTGGGTCACAGAGTGTGGGGAGGGGAGGAAAAACAGAGAACAATGGAGGTTAGAAAGGCAGCTGCGAGGCCCTCTTCTACAATTTGTGTACTTGAAATTGTCAGCATATCCTTTAGGTTCACACTCAACACAGCCGCATTGTAAAACATGCACACTTCTGTGACCTCATGATGTACCTGCTTAGAATCCATTTTTAAAATAGTCTCAGTCATGGATGTGCTGAATGAGGTTCTGGGCATTTTACAAAAAAAGGTAATTTTTGTACATGGTCTCTGAAATCAAGCCCCTATGACTTCATCTGGTAATCAACTGAAGGAAAGAGTGTTTTAACCAACCCTGTAGGCAAAACTGCCTGGGCCCAATGGGCAGTATGTCCCCATTCCATAAGGGGCCCCTCCAAGGGATCTGAGGGTGATCCTGACCACACAACTTCCCCCTTATGGGTTCCCTTCTCCTCTTTGATAAAAACAAGCCTCTTTTGGGCACACAAATCCAGGTGACATCATTCTAATGGCTGAGGTCTAGTGAACTGGAAGGGCCTCAGGACTGGGAGTCAGAAGATGGGCCTGGACTCTGGATAGGGGATTAGCTTAGCTGGCTGGCAGAGGTCTGTCACAAACCTCTGCATCTCAGTCTTTTAAGATGTAAAATCTAAGTTGTAATACTCACAGGGTCTCCATGATGGTGAAAGCAGTACTGGATATGAACAGATTTGTTGACAAGAAAGGCTTGAAGAAGAGAATAACATCAGCCGCCATTTACTGAGAGCTTGCTCTGTGTCAGGCACTGTGCTAAATTTAGTTTTTAAAAGATTAATTTTTAAAATTTTATTTACTAAATAGGCAATGCATTCACCAGTTTCAAAATTAAAAAATAAAAAAGGATACACAGGTCTATAATCTTAGGCTAGATGTGTTGTGGAATTCGGACTTTTCCATATTTTATAGAGGTCAGATGGGCACACCTAATGTGTATTGTGTAACACTCCCAAGCAGCACCCTGTAACCAGTACCCTAGTATTTCTGCAAAATGAGTGAGTATTCACAAGTAAGTGGGATAAATGAATATATAAGGAGCTTCATGCCACTTCAGGTTGGGTTGTGCTCCCAAACAAGGTTTGGCACCAATTTTATGAAAAGAAACTTGGTTTTCAGAACTCTTTTGATTCCAGAACTGTAGATAAGAGATGGTGAACCCTTAAAAGTAAAAAAATCTCCCCCTCACTCCTGTCTCCCAGGCTACCAGGTCTTCCCACAGACAACTAACAACATCAGTTTCTTGAATGTCCTTCCAAAGATACTCTGCATATATGAGCAAATATGTATCTCCCCTACTTGTTTAACAGATGGATGTGCCGAGCTCCTTATATACATTATTTTAGTTCATCTTTGCAGCAGCCTTCTGAGTATGTATGATTCTTATTCCTATTTAACAGATGAGGAAACCAAGGTTCAAGAAGCAAGGTTTCTTGCACAAGGCCACACAGGCAGTAAGTGGCCAAGACAGGTTTCGTACCAGGTCTGCCCAACTTCAAAACCCGTGCTCTTTTTATCGGTGTGTTGAGATCATTTACATTTAATGTCATTTAATGTGATGCATTTAGATTTAGATCTACCATTTTATTATTGCTTTTCCAATTGTTCCCTGTTTCTCATTTCTCTGTCTCCTCTTTTTTTAAAATTCAATTTGAATCTTAGTGTTTTTCACTAGATCACTTTGTATGTTTTTTCCAGTGGTTGTTTGAGGGATTACAATATACTTACTTAACTTTTCACAGTCTACTTAGAAACAGTATTTTACCATTTAAAGTGGAAGGTAGAAACCTTACCAGCATACACAGGTCCTTTTATTCTCCTCCCTTTATGTTGCAGATGTCATATATTAGATCTACATACACCAAAATACAATTTTTGCTTTCAACTATAAAACTATAAAACGTAGAAACTTCAAGAGAAGAACAGTCTATTCATTCAGATATTTATCATTTCTACTGCTCTTCCTGATGTTCCAGTTTTCCATCTGGTATCACTTCCCTTCTGTCTGAAGAATTTCCTTTAGCAATTCCTCTTGAGAAGATCTGTTGACTACGAACTTAGTCACCTTTCACTGAGAACATCTTAATATCCTTCAAAAATAAAGGTGAAATATTTGCTGGATATAGAATTCTGGGTTGACAATTCCTTTTTCTCCACACTTCCAGAATCTTGGTCTACTTCTTCCTGCTCTCCAGTGTCTGGTGAGAAATCCACAATCATTCACATTCCTCTGTAAGCGATGTGTTGTTTTTTCCCAGCTGCTTTCATGATTTTTTTTTCCTTCATTTTTAGTTTTCAGCAGTTTGATTCTATGTCTGGGCGTGGACTTCTTTGGGTTTATCCTATTTATGGTTTGCTGAGCTTTCTGAATCTGTAGGTTTACGTCTTTTGCCAAATCTGAGAAGTTTTCAGCCATTATTTTCTCCAAATAATTTTTCTGTACTGTACTCTTTCTTCTCTCCTAAGACTCTGAGGGCCCAATGTTAGACCTTTTATAATTGTCCCACAGGTCCCTGAAGCTGTTTATTTTTAAATCTTTTTTCTCTCTGTTGTTCAGACAGGATAATTTCCATTATCTATCTTCAAGTTCATTAACTCTTTCCTCTGTTATCTGCATTCTGATACTCATTGATCCAGTGAGGTTATTCTGATCATTTTTCAGTTCTAAAATTTCCATTTGGTTCTTCTTTATATCTTCTATTTCTTTGCTGAGACTTTTTATCATTCCATTCATTTCAAGACTGTTTGCCCTCACTTCTTGGAGCATTTTTATAATAGCTGCTTTCTGTCTTTGTCAGATAATTCCAACATCTATGTCATCTTGATATTGGCATCTGTTGACTGTCTTTTTGTGAGCTGCAATTTTCTTCGTTCTTTGTATGCCCAGTAATTTTGGATTGTATTCCCCGATATTTTGAACATTTTGTTATGAGGCTTTGGGAGAATCCTAATATTTTTGTTTTAGCAGGCAATCAACCCAGCTGAGTTTGGGCTCCAAGTTCTGGTTTCAACATCAGTACCATTTTCAAAGTCTTTGCAGTGCTGTTCAGTTCTCTACTGTGTATGTGCTATCCAGTGGTCAGTCTGAGACCTTGTAGTGGGCTATCTTAACCTGTAGTTTTTTGTTCTCAAAGTCTCTGGTATGATATTTGGGAACAGATCCACTTATGTATAGTTTGCAGGTAAGGCCAGGAGTCCATAAACAACTTTATGGGGTTGCTTTCTGAGCTTCTCCCTTTCTGTGATCTCCTCGGTGCTTTCCAGTTCCCCGGGGCTCCCTTTTTGGTCCTCTGG